CCTCTCCAAAAAAAGAAAAAAAATTAAATCTTTTTTTAAAAAAGATTTTATTTAACTTTATTTATTCATTCATTTACTTTATTTTAATTTGACCAGATAGGGACAGAGCAAGAGAGAGAGAGACAGAGAGAGAAAGTGAGAAAGCAAGCTGCCAGGCCCAGGACTCGAGCCGCAGTTGGACATGTGTAGGTCCAGCACCTTTAACTACCAAGCTACCTGCTGGCCCACAATTAAATCTTTTTTTTTTTTTGGAGAGGTTTTTGCTATAGGGCACGTGCACTCACCAGAAAGACAGAGACAGAGAGACAGAAAGCAAGAAATCACTCCCCAGGGGTGAGGGCTGTGCCACAATCCCTTCTCTTCCATTCTTCTCCCGGAATCTTGGGCACGCACGCACACAAGCCCAGCCACTGGGCCCAAGACTCGAACTGCGGTTGGTTACATGGGAGTTCAGCGACATAGCCATTATGCTAACTGCTGGTCCCCCACAATTAAATCTTAAAGGAAAAAAGGAAAGGGAGATTTTGCTACAGGGTGCATGTGCTCACCAGAGAAAACAGAGAAAGAAAGCAAATCATTCCCCAGAGGGGATGGCCATGCCCTAATCCTTTCTCCATTCACCTCCTGAGATTTTGAGCATGAATGCACACACACCCAGTGTGAGTTTGAAGCCACTAGGTCCAGGACTTGAACTATGCTTAGCCATGTGGGAGTCTAGTGACATAACTGCTACGCCATCCCCCCCTTGGGATTCTGGGCACTTAAACCCTCATGCTCAGTGTGAGTTTCAAGGCACTGGGTCTGGGACTCCGATTGTGGCTGACTATGTGGGAGTCCTGTGCTTTAACAACTACACCACCTGCTGGCCGTGAGAAAGAAATTTTAACATGAAAATTGCAAATGTATTTATTCTCAGTTTCTTCTTTTCCACCTCAAGGGAGCTGACTTTTATCTTTCTGGATCAATGACATTTCAGAAAATTACAAATGATTCAAATCCACATACTGGAATTACTATGGAGTTAACACATTTGGAACTGTCTCAATAAAATGCAAAGCAAAACACGTAAATCTAATCGTGACATGCCGCATTTCGTACATGAGGGCACATGTGCACAGTGACACGTCTGCAGCACACGTACTCCCACAGATATGCACGTCTCTATTTTCAGCTAGAATCCTGCTTTCAGCTAAACCCGCCTAGACCTTAACACCTTCAAAACTCAGATCTTTCTGAATTCCTGTTTCTGGGCATGGTTTTCATATTCTCCCAGTCACCAACGCTTTTACTTTGGAGTGCAATGTCTTTGACTCCACCTCCATCATCCCTAAATCCAGGTGCTATTCAAGAAACACCTCTACAGTATTTAGTCCTCAAAACCCACCAGCAGACACCCTCTTGTGTGATCAAGTCCTACTCCTCTTTTCTTTTAATGCATCCTATACCTATCCCTTTCCTTCTATTCTGTGACCACTACACACACTCAGGGCACTGTCATATCTGGACCACTGCCAGACTTTCAAAACCAGCTCCCTGCTCTGAGATCCCCACTCCATCTCATTATAACAGATTAACTGTCTTAGAGCAATAGTTAATTGGTCCACTAACCAGATGCTGGATCACCAAAAATAAAGTCATACGGTGAAAAGACTGAGCTTGAGCTCAACTACCATAAAGAAAAAGCAGTTAAACCTAAGAAGATACACCCACTGCGTTTCTCCAGACCTATCATTCCCTTAGGTTTATTTAGAAAGGAGACCAGCTCATATACAGCAGAGACCACAGGTGTACTGTGCTAACAAAGACAAGAGGCCTCTGAGTTGGGGCCCTTTAGTAGAAAAGCTTCCTACCTTGAGCAGGGGCATCTCTCGAGCCTGCTGGATTAAAAGATGCATTTCATTGATCTGCTGCCGTACGAGGGGAGGTACTGGGTTGCAGCAAGCTATGATGCCTTGTGGTTCCCTGAAGACGAGCAAGAACACATTCGACTTACCACTCAGGCAGCACCATCTGCAAAGGCTTCCCAGTGAGAACAACTGGGCAAAGCCATGGTGGCACAGCCAAGCTGGAGCCTAAGAAAACAGGCTTCTGAACTGGCACAGACCCTAGAGGCATGGCTGCGTCAGGGCAGTCACTTCCACATGCACTCTTTGCCACACCAAACTTGAAGTTGATTGTCGCTTAAGGCCCAATTCCTGCCAAGGGGAAACTGGAGAGAAGCACCACAGCACTGCTGATTCTCAGGTCCGCAGTGGGCGAAACGCAGGGCATGAGTTCTGAGTCTGGCTTAGTCTTCAGTTAACAGCACAAATGTTTAACACTAAGAGATGCCTTAATTTTGAAGAAAATAATGGGAGAATCCAAGACACATATATATTTTTTAGATGCTCTAGGTCCAGAGTCTTAGTGGTAAGCTCAATATAAAGCAGCATCCTTGAAATGGTTCTAGTTCAGAAGTTTCAGTTCTTAAATGGCAGCCCAAGAGCAGAAACTTCCTTGGACTTGCTACCTTCCCAGCTTAGAGCACTAATCTTCTCTACATGAAACGCCTTGGCTAACAGCAATCAGATATGCTGGACTTTGAAGGACACGAGATGTAAGAGAAGGCAGAACATACTCATTAGCTCTGAGACTCACTTAGGCAGTTCTTCGGCTATCTTTAGCATCATATGGTTTGGCAGCACGTATCTGAAACAAAACACAATGAAATCGCATTAAATCCAGCCGGCAAGCTCCCTTCAACGCTGGAACACAGGGGCAACCAATCAGTTTTCATGACGGAAGACAAAGAAGCTCACTATTTCCAGATCTGCTAAGTCTAAAAGCAAGTATGAAAGGATCTCTAACCCCTTACCCATAACTTTCATCTTCCCTTCGAGCTGTCTTATCTCTCCAGGCAAACAGCAGCTGAAAGGCTGTCAGCTGCTGCGTGTTGAGATGCTTCTTTTGCTTCCTATAGAGTTCAAGGTAGGACTCATCAGTGAAGATGGGCTTGAGGAATTTCTGCAAACATCAGAGAATAATCATAATCAATGGGAATCAAAAGCATCGGACTCTTTTCATAACGTGGAACCTGATTAGAAACAAAGAGCTTGAGAGAATGCGGAGGTTCTGTGGCTCTGGCAGAGGCATACCTTCAGGCAGATGTCCCTGCTCCGCTGCCACACCACCTGCAGCTGAACGGGCTGGTTGCCGCCTCGCTCCCACAGCTCCAGCCTCATTTTATCATAGATGTAAAGCAGGTAATGGGTGTCATCTCGGGCATAGCTGAGCATCTCCTCAGGAAGAGGGCTGGAGTTGCAACGGAAGATCCGGTTTCAGTGGTTGGCCCAAGGACAACAGTTCAATATACGTATTCTGTGAGTCCCAGGACTTCCTTGGACTCTACTTGACATGCAAGGTTCTTTCACAGCCAACATATACCAACGTTGGAATCTTAGCTGCTGTCTCAAGGTCCTGAGCTTACCACCCTACCTGTGACAGAGGCTGACATGAGGATTATAGGGGGCAGTGCTGGGCTCAGGTAAGTGAGCAATAATAGGAAGTGGCTTCTAGAGTTTACTGATTTGCATTTTACATTTGAGATTAATTAGTCCAAATACATTTTTATTTTTGTATTTAGAAATTCTGGCATGTGGGGACCAGCAGTTAGCGTAATGGCTATGTCACTGGACTCCCACGTAGTTAACCGCGGTTCAAGTCCTGGACCCGGTGGCTTAAAACTCATGCTGGGCACGTGTGCATGTGTGCCCAAGATCCCAAGAGGAGAATGGAGGAGAAGGGATTGCGGCATGGTCATCCCCCCTGGGGGGGTGATTTCTCGCTTTCTGTCTCTCTATCTGTCTCTGTCTGTCTGGCGAGTGCACGTGCCCTATAGCAAAAACCTCTAAAAAAAAAACTTCAAAAAATATTGACATGTGTTGGGACCAGCAGATGGTGTAATGGCTATGTCGCTGGACTCCCACGTAGTTGACCATGGTTCGTGTCCCAGATCCGGTGGCTTAAACTCGCACTGGGTGCATGCGTGCCCCAAATCCCCAGAGGAGAGTGGAGGAGAAGGGATTGCGGTGTGGCCATCCCCTCTGGGGGTGATTTCTAGCTTTCTGTCTCTCTGTCTGTCTCTTTCTGGCGAGCACACGTGCCCTATAGCAAAACCCTCTCCAAAAACAAAACAAAAAAAGAAATTCTGGCATGTGGAATTGGAGATAAATTTAGTGGCACCTTCATAGGACAGCTGCAACCTCAGGGAGGTGGCTAGCCACTTGAAAACGATCAAGTTGAGCAAAGTTTCTAGAAAGAGTGGCAAAACTCTGTTACCACTTTATACTACAGTGAACACTTAAAAAGCCAAACCGACCATGAGGAGTATTCTCTCGCATCTATAGGAGATCCTCTCACACATGAACAACTAGCCCCACTAGGGAGATCTGAGTTCCCAACACGGGACTGGCATGGCACCTTGTTTCAACTAGTATTTCCAGGACGTGTCCTGTAACAGTCAGCCCAACAGAAAGTCCACACTGTTATTCAAAACTTCCTGCTGCTCTTCTGTTGCTGAAAGCTGCTGGAGAAAAGCCTATCGCCATTCATCTCCAGATTCACAAAGCGGTACACAGGTCTTCATGGGTGACAGGTTAATGAAGAGCCATGCTTTCTTTCGCCACCCACATTTCCCTGTCACGAGCAAACTGACCGTATTCTCCAGTCAGCGAGCTGATACTGCTTGTTAGATTCCACACTGCAGTAGAGTTTCAGCAGATGATCCAGGGAGTGCCTGCCCAGATTAAGAAGGCGGGCTGCCTGATGGGTATCAAACATGTTTACCACATACAACCCAAAGTCTTTCTGTAGCCATTCGATGTCTGAATCAGCACCATGGAAGACCTGAAAACAAAACCAAAGTCATGCAGCACACTGGTACAGCCATACGTGCGCCGACACTCGCTCTGCCGCTAAATTACTAGAACACGAGCCAGAGCCAATATGAAGACTATGACGTATGTACTCCTATGCTTCATTGAATCTGGGCCACAGTCACCGTCTATGCTCCTAGCCACCTACTCTTAATGTCTAAAACTACAGTCAGTCAATGATACAAGAAAGCAGTCCAATGAGTTTCACGTGTGTCACTAAGTCCAAACAATCTGGATGACTGGGGCTCCTTGCGGTAGTCATTAAAGTGATTTAACACTTTTCTTGGGGTAACAAGCTAAGTCTCAGCTGTGTGAACAGGGGTTTAGAAACAAGAGCAGTTTAATGTGTGGTAACTTAGTGTAAGAAATCACACATTGGGAACCAGCAGTTAGCATAATGGCTATGTCGCTGGACTCCCACGTAGTCGACCGCGGTTCGAGTCCCGGACCCGGTGGCTTAAAACTCACACCGGGCGCATGTGTGTGTGTGCCCAAGATCCCGAGAGGAGAATGGAGGAGAAGGGACTGCGGCGTGATCATCCCCCCTGGGGGGTGATTTCTCGCTTTCTGTCTCTATGTCTCCATAGGGCGCATGCGCCCTATGGCAAAAACCTCTCAAAAAAATAAAAAAAAAGAAATCACACATATTCTCAACTTTCCTTGGTCTAGTCTGAAAGAATGAAATAGCACACTAAAAACCACTCAAATCTTGTACTCACATACAAGAGCTAGAAAAGGCAGGCTGACCTTAACAATAGCTGGGTCTGTGAAGCTTTCATTGAGAATGTACATGTCACTCCGAAGCTCGAGGGTGTCAATGATGAAGTCTTCTGTCCGGGTGGAAATTTGCATGAGGCAGGTTAGTCCCAGGAAGCTCCTGTAAGAGTGGTGCTGAAACACAGAGAGGGGAGACAGGAAAATAACTACTTAGGCTTTCTTTTATTGACTTTGCAGTCAGCTATAAAGCAAAGTTATATGATTAATTTTTACTAAAAAATACATTAAAATTAGTATTAACTTCACGCTTCTCAAATAAATGTAACTCATGAAAATTGTAAAATTTCCACTTAAAAGATCATTTACAGATACCTCCAAGTCTACAGCAAATTCTCGACAACTCAAGAGCTTTTCGTTGAGTTCTACAAGTTCATCCAGGGAGGACACAAAATGGCAGGGCGTTTCTTCTACAGGTCTATATATCTGGATCGGAGGTACAGGAAGAGAGAGAGGGGAGTATTAAAATCAGCCCCCTGAACATACAACATGAATTATGAGTTAAAAAGTAACCCAAAACCGTAACCTTCTACTTTAAAGATATTTTCTTTAATTTTTAATTTTGTTATATATTTTTTCCTTTCTTTTTTTTTCTAATATGCTGTAGGGTATGTATGCTCACTGGAGAAAGTCTGGAGAAAGACTGAAAGCACCCCCCAAGGGGGATGGCCACTCCACAAAGCCTTCTCCTCCATTCTCCTTTCAGGATTCTAGCCATGCATGCACAAGCTCCTGACATATCTGTCAAGCTGCTGGGTCTGGGACTCAAATTGTGGAGTTGGCCATGTGAGATCCTGCCACCTTAACCACTATACCACAGGCTGGCCCTGGTTTTATAATTTCTTACATTTAATTGTTATACATCGTTGTGGGGTACATTACAGTTTTTCAGTCCACTTTAAAGGTATTTAAGGAAAGTAAAAATTAACTAACCCACTTTTCTGATTCCTCTTGGGTCACTCAGACACCACGCTTCAACTGTAACTGGGCACTAACCTGGGGATGTGGCCTTTGAAGCACCGAGTCTGGTGGAATAAAGTGATCTAGCTCATATTGATACGGATGTGCAAACCTAAATAAAACAAAGAGAGAAACTTTTTGGTTGATTCTGTGATTTGAAGGAGGAAAAAACCACTAAATTTCTAAAACCAAGAATAGACCATTTCTTTAGAAAATACTTTCTCTTTATAAAGAGAATCATTATTTAGTCATATTTCAAGTGTATCAAATAAATGATACTTTCTAAAAAAAAATTATTTATTTAATTCCATTTGTTATTAGTTTTTAGTTTGACCAGAGAGAGATAAAGGGAAAGTGAGAAAGCAGGCTGCCAGATCTGGGACTCGAACGATGGTCGGCCATGAGGGAGTCCAGCACCTTTAACCACGCCACCTGCCGGCCCCCAGATGATATTTTTTCACTTTTATTTTTAAATTTTTTTTTTGCTACTTGCTAGGCAAAGAGGGAACGTAAGAAATCACTCCCCTGGGGAGAATCTCCTTCAATCTTCTACTGGAATTTTGGGCACACACGCACATGCACCTTGTGTGATTCTTTTTCTTTTTTTTTTTTTAAAGAATTATTTAATATTATTTATTCATACCTTTATTTTAATTTGACCAGAGAAAAGAGAGTGAAAGTCAGAAAGCAAACCACCAGGTCCGGGACTTGAACTGTGGTTGGTCATGTGGGAGTGTCCAGCACCTTAACCACCATGCCACCAGCTGATGTGATTTTCAAGACACTGGGTTCGGGACTTGAACTACTCAGTGGCCATGTGGGATCCAGCACCTTAACCTCCACACCACCTACCAAACTGATACTTGTTCACTTTTCTTTTCTTTTCTTTTTTTTTTTTTTGAGAGGTTTTTGCTATAGGGCACGTGTGCTTGCCAGAAAGACAGAGACAGAGATAGAAAGTGAGAAATCATCCCCTGGGGGGATGGCCATGCCGCAATCCCTTCTCCTCCATTTTCCTCTTGGGATCTCGGGCACGCATGCACATGCGCCCGGTGTGAGTTTAGGCCACCGGGTCCAGGACTCGAACCTCAGTCAACTACATGGGAGTCCAGTGACATAGCCATTATGTCAACTGTTGGTTCCCTCTCCCTTTTTTCTTAAAGAGAGATTTTTGGGGGGCTGGCAGGTGGTGTGGTGGTTAAGAGCACTGGACTCCCACAGGGACAACCTCAGTTCAAGTCCTAGACCTGGTGCCTTGTTTTCTCACTTTCCTTCCCACCCTCCCTCTCTGTGATTTGACCCTCTCCCCTGGTCAAATTAAAATAAATAAATAAAATAATTCTTAAAAAAAGAGAGAGATTTTGCTATTAGGTGTGTGTGCTCTCCAGAGAAAGAGAATCACCCCCTCCAGGGGAGATGGCCATGCCGCCATCCCTTCTCCTCTCAAGATCTTGGGCATGCACACACATGCGCTCGGCATGAGTTTTAAGCAACCAGATCCAGGAATTGAACCTCAGTTGACTATGTGGGAGTCCAGTGATGTAACCACTATGCCATCTACTGGTTCCATTCACTTGTTTATTTTAGGCAGTTTTTTCAAGATACTTAAGCTGCCAGCTAAAAATCGTCTTCTTGGGACCAGCAGATAGTCTGATGCCCTCTGATTCTCTGACGTGGATCAGGACACACTGGCACACAGGAAGCACTCAGAGTAGAACGTTCAGACACAGAAATACTGACATGTCCTGCTCGACCTGCTGAGTTCTCTGCTGATGGATGAAATCCGCCAGGGCAGGGGGGACATCCAAATCCTCAGGACGATCCTGTGGGCGTTCTCGTCTTTCTTTAGAGAGAGCTGGAGACCCAAGCAGTGATAAACACACGATCACAAGGAAGAGAAACAGATTCACATCTTCTCTAGTTATGGAAGGATTAACTGGCATCTTTGGAAGAAAGGGTGGCAGAGATCCTTACACCTTAACTGGTTGTTGGGTCAGAATTAAAGGAAGCCCTAATATTGACTGTTTTTCACACTACTTACCATGAGGGAGGGGCTTCTGAGCATTGGGCTTGATGAAGATTTTAGGAAGAAATGGAGTGTTGGAATTGTCAATCTTCTCTCGGAACTTGAGCTGAGGTCGGACGATGTTTTTTGCATGAAGCAGTCGGAAAGTTTCAGATTTTGCTTTTTTGCCATATTCTCCTGCCTGTAATTAATGCACACAAATATTTTAAAACATGGTAACTTGACAAATTAGAAATTAATTGTAATTTAGGTCTTCCAAAGAGACAAGAACATTGCAAGAGCCATTTGCTTAAGAATGCATAATGTCCTTTTGTTTAGGAATAGCAGGGGGGGGGGGGGCGGCAGATGGTAGGGTGGTTGAGGTGCTGGGCTCCCACATGGCTGACTGCGGTATCAGTCTTGGACCCAGCGGCTTGCTTTCCCACTTTACCTCTCTCTCTGGTCAAATTAAAAAAAAAATAATAATGATAATAAATAAGGTTAAATAAGAAAAAAAAAAATGCATTTAGGGACCAGCACATGGCATGGTGGTTAAGGGTGCTAGACTCCTATGTGGCTGACAACAGTTTGAGTCCCAGACCTGGTGGCTTGCTTTCTCATTTTCCCTCCCTCCCTCTCTCTCTCTCTGTGTATGTCTCTCTGGTCAAATCAAAATAAATGAATAAATAAAAAAATTAAATAATTCTAAAAAAAAAAGAAAGTTAAATAAAATAATTCTTGAAAAAAACGTATCTGTATGTGAAACTGGGAATGTGAAGTAGAAAAGAGGGTGTAATTAGGTTAAGTGTGCTTATGAGAATGAGTTGAAAGTCGGCAGTGGCCAGATCTATATCCAATAGATTAGGACAGAAATGTAAATTAGAATAGGCAAAAGCCCTATGTCAGATCTAGTTAATACAAAAACAAGCCCTTACCTTTCGGTTCCAGCTGGACACTATTGTTTTAGGGACCTGCAATCCTGCCGGGAGGACAGGCTGTTGGTTCTTATTCACACCTGATGCTTCATCTAATAGAATACCCTAACAGCAGAACAGATTATTAGTTTAATATTTTCCTCTTGAGGTTAACAGAGTTAATTTCCTAAGATTTTTAAGAAATATGTTCAGAGGGGGGAACCAGCAGTTAGCATAATGGCTATGTCGCTGGATTCCCACATAGTCAACCGTGGTTCGTGTCCCAGACCCGGTGGCTTAAAACTCACGCCGGGTGCGTGTGCGTGCGTGCCCAAGATCCCAAGAGGAGAATGGAGGAGAAGGGATTGCTGCGTGACCATCCCCCCTGGGGGGTGATTTCTCGCTTTCTGTCTCTATGTCTCTCTCTGTCTGGTGAGCGCACGTGCCCTAGAGCGAAAAACCTCTCAAAAAAAAAAAAAAAAAGAAATATGTTCAGAGGGGATGAGCAGGTGGCATGGTGGTTAAAGTGCTGGACACTCCCACATGGCTGACCACAGTTTAAGTCCCAGATCTGGCAGCTTGCTTTCTCTCTTTCCGTTCTTCTCTCTTGTCAAATTAAAATTAATTAATAAAATAAAACAAATAATTTTTAAAAAAAGAAACAAAAGGAATATGTTCGGAGAATTATATGTAAGTGATAATAGTGGCCGGCAGGTGGCATGGTGGTTGGGTTGCTGAACTCCCACCTGGCCGGCAACAATCTGAGTCCCAGAGATGGTGGCTTGATTTCCCATTTTCCCTCTTTTCTCTCTTTCTGTGTCTCTCTGGTCTAATTTAAAAATAATAATGAATAAATAAAATTAAATAATGTTAAAGAAGTAGACCAATGTATATCAAACTTGTATACCATACATGAACAATTTTCATCAATTAGAATAATGAAAATGGAAAAAAAAAGAAAAGAGAGTATATCGATGCATGAGAAGTGAGTAGGGAGTCACCCCAAGCAATTAAACATTATTTTCTAGAAAGAGAAGCAAGGCTGCAGTCATCCACTGTCAACCTTCGATTGACACTTTACAGCTCTGAACTGGGCTGAAAATTCAAATATGATTTAATGGTATGACATGGCTTCTAAAATAATGAAAAAGACCCTACACTGCATACAACACATATAAGGGATCTTCAGAAAGTTCATGGAAAATATATATTATGAAAAAACCCTAAATACAAATTTCGAAATGATTTTCCAACAAAATGAACTTGTACTTTAATTCTGTTTTCGAAGTTTTCTTACACAGAAGTACATTATTCAGAATGGAAACGAAGGTAACCTGTATCTGTCTTGTACTGTCAAAGCAGATGAGTATTAGTTTGGGCATTATTCATAACAGCAAGGGCGGGCGGGGGCAGCAGATGGCATAATGGTTACGTCACTGGACTCTAACATAGCCGACCATGGTTCAACTCCCAAACCTGGTGGCTTGAAACTCATGCTGGACGTATATACGTGCGTGCCCAAGATCCAAGGGGGAGACTGGAGGAGGGACTACGGCATGGCCATCCCCTCAGGGGGTGATTTCTTACTTTCTCTCTCACTGTCTCTCTCTCTCCCACAAGCACATGCTTCCTAAGGCAAAAACCACTTAAAAAAAAAAAAGCTAACATGCAAAAGTGACAAAGGTAATATGGCAGATCTTGGAAACATAAAATATGGGAAATTGCACAAAGATTCGTAGGCATTAACTTAGTCCAGGGAAGAGATGACTTCATGGGAAGGGACAGTACGATTTAAGTATCTCCAGGACTGTCACATGGTCGAAAATTAGATTTATTTTAGATGATCTATCTCTGTGTATTTCTGAAAATAATGTTCTGCTATAGAATGGGGCATAAATAGAGAGTAAACACGTGCTCTGTCATGAGTAAAGATAAAAATTTTTAAAAAAGCAAAAGTGGGGCTACCAAGTGGCATGGCAGTTAAGGAACTGGATTCCCATGTGACCCACCATGGTTTCAGTCTCAGACGCAGAGGGCTTGAAAAAAATCACACTGGGTGCATGTGAGTGCATGCCCAAAATCCCAAGAGGAAAATGGAGAAGAGACTATGGTGTGGCCATCCCCCCAAGGGGCTGATTTCTCACTTTCTCTCTGTCTCTCTCAGGTGAGTGCACACAACCTATGACAAAAACCTGAAACAAAAAAGAAAAAGAAAAAAAGCAATGCAAAACTTATTTCCCTTTGATTTTCTAAGATGCTTAGGATTTTCATTGTATTGTAATAATACAAAAGCTTTCCAGGGACCAGACTGTGGTATGGTGGTTAAGGTGCTGGACACTCCCACATAGATGACCATGGTTCAAGTCCCAGACTTGGTAGCTTGCTTTTTCATTTTCCCTCTCTCTCTCGTTAAATAAAAATAAATGAATAAATTAAATTAAATTTTTTTTTTAAATCCTTTCCATTTCTTTAAGAGAAGGTGAAATACTCACCACTCTCTCCAGAATAACATCATTGGTATCAACCAGTAAATCAAACTTGTCCTCCAACTCTGTTACTTTACTTCGATCCTTAATATTGCTGCGACACCCATGGTACTGCATTACCCTACTCATGCTGAGGAAAAGAAAACCAAGATTAGTTTGTATATTTTTATTTTATTTGTTTGTAATCTGAAACATGACTTGGTTCACACTGTTCCCAATACTTTCTCATCAAATTAAGAAAACCTGCACCCTTACAGCGACCTTTAAAGAACACTGCTAGTTGGGGCCAGCAGTTGGCATAGTGGTTAAGGCACTAGATTCCCACATGGCAGACTGTGGTTCAAGTCCTGGACCCAGCAGCTTGAAAATCAGAATAAACAGATAAGTAAAATAAATGTTTTTAAAAAACGAAACAATTTCTAGCTGTGTGACTCACTAAATCTAAGATTCCCTTTGATCATCTGTTAACTTAAGAGAGAAATTACCTCAAGCATTCCTTTAAATTCTTAAAAATAGGGGGCCAGCAGATAGCACAGCGGTTTTGTCACTGGATTCACACATGGCCACTGTAGTTAGAGTCCCATAACCTGGGGCTTGAAAATCACATATGCTGGGTGCATATGGGCCCAAGATACTAGGAGGAGAATGGAGTAGAAGGGATTGTGGAATGGCTATCCCCCTGGGGGGTGATTTCTCACTTTCCCCTCTCACAGTCTCTGTCTCTCTCTCCAGCGAGCACATGTGCCCTATAGCGAAAACTTCTGAAAAAGAAAAAAATACATACACTATGTAAATAACACATGCTACATTCACTTTTTAAAAATTTTTTATATTTTTGGTGTAGGGTGTGTGCACTTGCCAGAGAGAGAGACAGAGAAGGTGAGAAATCACCCCTCAGGGAGGTTGGCCATGCCACAATCCCTTCTCCACTCTCAGGATTTTGAGCACATGTGTACACACACACTGGGCATGATTTTCATGCCACCAGGTCAGAGACTCAGATCACAAAGCTGGCCATGTGGGATCCAGCATCTTAACCACCACATTCATTGTTTTAACAGGGCAAATAAGTCTCTCTAATTCTGCCATCCAAAATTAACATTTGTGTATAGTCTGGCCTAATACACTCAGAAAGCTAATAACTGTGACTCTGCAAGTTGTGGGCCCATATTAATTCAACAAGATTTGTTGCTTCTAGGTTCAAAAGGCAATTTTTTTAAAATGTTAAACTAAAAGTTTACCAAATAATATTTCTCATCGCCTCATTTTATAGCTATAGCACAGAAAATTGTGACCAAGAAAAATCAAGTATCAGGAAAATTTTTTACTTCTTTATTTTATTTCATTAATGCGAGGAAACAACATATAATACTTACCATTGCAACAACCTGTCTCCCTGTGTTTCACAAAACGCCTGGAAGCCAGGAAAACTTCGATAAAAATCATACTCATCGCCAGACTGCGGTAGGCCCCCAGATGCCTTGGTGACTGCCAGCACTGCCCCCAGGGCGAACTGTCAAAAATCAGAAAAGACACTTTTTAAAAACAGTTTGTTCTGGGCACCTGGTTGCAGGAGAGAGAAAGAGAGAGGGAAGGTAAGAAGTCACCACCCAGCGGATAGCTCTGCTGCAATCGCTTCTCCTCCATTCTCCTCTCAGGATTTTGACATGCATGCACACTTACCCACTGTGCTTCTTTCTTTCTTCTTTTTTTTGGGAGAGGTTTTTGCTATAGGGGGCGTGCGCTCGCCAGACAGAGAGAGACAGAGAGACAGAAAGCGAGAAATCACCCCCCAGGGGGGATGGCCACGCCACAATCCCTTCTCCTCCATTCTCCTCTCGGGATCTTGGGCACGCACGCACACGCGCCCAGCGTGAGTTCGGGTCCGGGATGCGAACCGCGGTTGACTACGTGGGAGTCCAGCGACATAGCCATTACGCTAACTGCTGGTTCCACCACTGTGTTTCTCAAGTTGCCATGTCCAGGACTCAAACTGTAAGGTAGGCGACGTGGGATCCAGCTGCCTTAACTACCATGCCACTGACTTGCCCCGAGAAGACACTTTTTAAAAGTGGATCTCCAATCATTTGGCACATTTTTGATTTATATAGAGGGCACTGTGTTACATGCTGAAGATTATGTACTTTTCATCCATCCAAAAAAATATCTATTTAGTGCTGATTACACCTACACCTAGAGACCAATTCTGGGCTTGAGAATACAATAGTGAGGATATGACAGTGAACACAAAACCAAGTTTGGAGTTTATGTTTTTGGGAGAGTGGAGAAGAGAAAGAACAAATACATATATAATATGATGAATATTCAATAGGGCATGGTATAGAATCTTGACTCTGCTACCTATTAAATGTGATCCTGGGCAAGTCATTTTATTCACTTGGGCCTTGGTTTTCTCCTCTGAAAAATAGGGGAACCAGCAGTTAGCGTAATGGCTATGTGGCTGGACTCCCACGTAGTCAACCGCGGTTCACGTCCCGGACCCGGTGGCTTAAAACTCACTCTGGGCGCGTGTGCGTGCGTGCCCAAGATCCCAAGAGGAGAATGGAGGAGAAGGGATTGCGGCGTGACCATCCCCCCTGGGGGGGTGATTTCTCTCTTTCTGTCTCTCTGTCTCTCTCTGTCTGTCTGTCTGGCGAGCACACGCGCCCTATAGCGAAAACCTCTCCAAAAAAAAAAGAAAAAAAAGGGAATAATTAAAAGTGCCTACCTCACAAGTTTTTTTTTAAAACTTAAATTATTATTACTATTATTATTTTAAAATATGCTATGGGGTATGTGTGTTTAAGAGAGAGAGAGAGAAAGTGAGAAAGTAAGCTCCCAGGTCTGGGCTCAAACTGCAGTCAGTCATGTTCATGTGGGAGTCCAGGACCAGGGCCTCAACCACAACTTCACTTGCTGGCCACCCCACTCCATTTTTTTTTTTTTTTTAAATAGAGGTTTTTTCCCTTAGGGTGGGGGGGGTGGGGGGAGGGAGACAGAGACAGTGAGAGGGAAAATGAGACATCATCCCTGAGGGCGGGGGATGGCCACACTGCAATCCCTTCTTCTCCATTCTCATCTCAGGATCTTGGGTGCATATATACACACATGCACCTGGTGTGTTTCAAGCCACTGGGTCTGGGGCTCAGACTACAGTCAGCTACATGGGAGTGCAGCAACATAACTGCTATGCCGTCTGCTGGCCCAGTCCCCAAGTTTCTTTTAAGGGTGAAATGAGATAATTAAGTCACTTAGGCTCATTCCTGACACATAAGTGTCAAGCTTATTACAATAATTTTTTGTGTGTTTTCATCTTTTTTTTTTTTTTTTAAATGGTTTTTGCCATAGGGTGCATATGCTTGGAGAGAGACAGAGAGAGGGAAAGTGAGAATTCATTCCCCAGGGGGGATGGCCAGGTAGCAATCCCTTCTCCATTCTCCTTTCAGAAGCACACACACATGCCAAGTCTGGGACTCAAAACAGGTCAGCCATATGGGGATCTAGTGCTTTAAACACCATGCCACCTGTTGGCGCCTGTGTTTTCATCTTGATGAGCATAGTGAAAAACAATGTGATCATGATCCTTTGGATGGCTGATTTATTATACGATGGCTTCTGTCTACACTAGATTAGTGTTTATAGGTTAGTCTGTGCCAAGGTAGTTTTTAATTTTAATTGCTGTGAGGTAATGAGAAATAACCTGAAGAGGCTGTCACAGATAAAAACTGATCATGTGAAGACTAAATGACATCACTGGGAATTGTGCGAATAAATATTTCCCAAGAAAAAAGTGAGAGGAGGTGGGAAATTGGGTCACAGCAGGGTATATGTAAGCATGACTGCAACATAATAATAGTCTAGGAACTATTCTGAACCAAAAAAACGAATCGATAATAATAGCATAGGCTAACTGGTAAGTTAGACATGACCTGAGCAGACTCGCTGGAAACTTGTAGTGCTAACTTAACAGGTTAATTTAGTTTCGTGGCTTTGTATTCTTAAACCGAGTTCCATGTTCATGCTAAGCTGCATTACACAATCTAAAGCAACTTTCTGTGGCCCTTCAAGAAGTATTGATAAATGTATGGCGCTTAGAGGAGGGAGAGGCCAGCAATAGCTGTGACACGTAACCCAGGGCTTGGGATTATGTAGGACTGGACTTTAGGGAAGGGAAGAAGGGCCTTTCCGGCCGCAAGAGGTGAGCACTCCCGACAGGTGTGTTGGGCTCTTAGCTGCTTCGCCCTTCCGGGGACTCGGCTGGGTGGTTCAGGGGTGGCACGAGAGGGGAAGGGACCCAGGGCGCTAAGGCTGGGGACATCTGCCTGTCAAGGAAGCCCTTCAGGGTACGCGGAGACGGCTCTCCACACGCTGGGCTGCATGGACATAAATTAAACTCAGGGTGGGCACTGGAGGCCCGATGCCCGCAGGGTGCAGCGGGAGTGCGTGCCCGACGCGGACTGCGGCCGCTCGACCCCCGCTGGGCTCTGCTCCGGCGTGCGGGAGAGCGTCCGGGTCTGTTTCCGGCCGCGGGCGACTCCCCGTGTCCCCGAGGCTCCGCCAGCTCACCTTCACGAAGCTGTCTGCGTCCGGGAAGCCCGGCAGCACCATTTCTCCATCAGACTTGGCCACGCTGGTCGCCGGCGGGGTCTTGGGTTCCCGGGGACTGGGAGGCGCCATTTTTCCGGCCAGCACGGCTCTTCTCGCGAGAGTGTCTCGGCCGACGGGACGCGTGCCTTCCGCGCATGTGCACTGGCGGTCCTTCGTATAGGGCCTGCGGATGGAGCTTGAGTGCTGCTGGGTCAGGACCGAGCGCTCCAGCAGGAACTTTACGTTTTTCTTTAACGTTACTTTGTGTCATTCTAACAACTTTGTGATCTGGAGTTGGGCCTGGAAAACCTGACTGTCCTCATATTGAAGCCAGCAGGAGCCAGCCCTTGGGGAAGTGGTGAAGGCGGCTGGATCTCACATGGCCCACCAGCGCAGTTTGAGTCCCAGAGCTTGCCGCTGGAAGAACGTGCCAGGCGGGTGCCAGCAATCCTAAAAGAAGCGGGAAATGGACGGGAAGGGATTACCGATAACCATTCCCCATGGGTGTGATGTCTCGCTCTCTGGTGAGTGCATGCATTCTTTGGCAAAATCAGCAAATTGCCTTCGTGTAAAAAAAAAAAAAAAGTGAAAATAACGAAAAACTGCCAGCTTTTTCAAGAAGAGCTGGTTCTGTGGCCTGTTTACCCACTTGATCTTGACACCTGCAATTACCCCCCCCTCCATCATCTGTTAATAGATTTTTCCTCTATAGGTTTATTCCTACCAGCCTAAGCATACACAGACTTCTCTCCTATCCAAAAATAAAAAACTCAAAAACACTGGGCCCCACATCTAACAGCCACTATCACATATCTCTTGTCTTTCATAAGAAAAGCTGGAGGGGCCACCAGTTAGTGTAATGGCTGTTCCAGTCCTGGATCCAGGGGTTTAAATTCACGATAGGTGTATGTGCCCACATGCCGAAGATTCAGAGAGGAGAATGAAGGAGAAAGGATTGCAGCGTGGCCATCCCCCTGGGGGGTGATTTCTCACTTTTTGTCTCCCTGTCTCTTTCTGGCGAGCACATGCGCACTATAGCAAAAGGTCTCAAAAAAAAAAAAAAAAGCTGGAAAAAAGCCTCAGTAAGATCCCACTGTACCTGCTCACCGCTGATTCCTCCCAATCAGAAGTGCTTTTCAATGACCAGCACTGAAATAGTGCGTAGTGGGGACTCAAACTTTTGTTACGTCAATGCTGGAAGAAGGAAGAACACCTTATGGGAGGCACTGTATTATCAGGCAGCTTGCTTATCAAGTCAGAGGTGGCATGCCCTGAATGCGAGGTCATTGGGAGAATCATGACAGACTTCTCTGTTTTCCTATGCAAAAGTGCATCATGACTTTCCTGACCGCTCAGTAAAAGTCATTTGACTTCTTTAGTGTTTAATAAATGTTAGCTGTTATCATTATTCAGAATATCTTGTTAACAGGACACTTGCTCTCCACCTTTTCTCTATGCTTTTTTTTTTTTTTTTTTTACGTTTTTTGCTTTAGAGCACCTATGCTAAGTGAAGAGCGAGATAGAGGGAGGGAAATCATCCCCCAGGGGAGATAGTCAAACCACAATCCCTTTTCTTCCATTCTTCTCTTGGGATGGGATTTTGGGCTCACACACATGCACGCACACCCCTAGAATGATTCTCAAGTTGCTGGGTCCAGGACTCAAACTGCTTAGTTGCCCATGTGAGATCCAGCTGTCTTAATCTCCACGTCACTTGCTGGTCCAAGGCCTAGTACATCTTTTTAAGTTTGTTTTAAGAATTATTTGTTTAATTTTATTATTTTTATTATTATTTTAAATTTGCTATTGGGCATGTGTGCTCACCAAAGAAAGAGAAGAGA